TGTAAGTGGAAAATTTATTTTCCAAAAGTGTAAATATATATTATGCAATCATTTAATTGCATTTCGTATATTATTTAAATTGCCATATTTAGGCCATGTTTGATCCACATTATTTGAAAAAAATACATTCTTAAATAGTGATTGGACATTAATTCAAAACTTTTCTTTATTTTTTAACCACACATTTTCCATCAATACACTATTCAAAAATGCATTTTTTTTCCAAAATAATGTGTTTCAAACAAGGGCTTATTTATTTTTCAAAATAACTAGTAACACAAATATGATTTTTAGAACAAAGTAGAATTTTTAAACAAATAGCTTTCTTAAATTTTAAATTGAATTAAGTTAAATTAGTTATTAGTACATTATATCAATATAAAATATGTGAAGAATTTTTTTATAAAATCACCTAGGTACTTTCTACTGCTTTTTCCCTACTTTACATTGAGAATGTGTTTCCATAATATATGACTAGATTATCAGAGGTCTTTCCAAGGCACTCTCGTACTCATAGGTTTTCGGTTGTGTACGGGGTATTTAGCCTTTTGAGACAACTTTTCATGCATATGACCAAATTATGAGACGACATATAACAGATTATCATAATGGAGTAACTTTGCCTTGTACTATATACATGGGTGATGTTATTCATTTGGTAGCTTTTTGGAGTGGATTTTGTGTTGTACATTTTATTAATTTACAATATATAGAATTTAGTTTATGCAGTTCATCAGTTTTTAGATTTAGCTCTTACTAACATTAGATGGCAATCTACTTTACATTCAAAATTATGTCATCATATTTCATATTCTTTAAACATTTATCTAATTCCATAATTTCTATTATCTACAATTTTCAAAGTGATTTTTAGATTTTATAATTATTTAAATGAATAATAGAAAAATCCAGATTTAGTAAATATGTATAAAGTGGAAAAGTCTAAATATTTGCAAACTCCCCACTCAGTGATTTAGAAGCTTATATATTTTTTTGAACTAATTAGGTTGAATGTTAAATTTGGTATGTTTAATGTTGTGGGTCATAATAATTCATGGGTAGAATTGGACAAGTCTCCAGTAAGAGGCTCATAAGATAGCCCATTAGAATATTTAATAATTTAGCCTATGTATTATAATCTTGACTAATTTGATCAAAGAATTAAAATTTTGACCAATGTATTTCTGTAGCAATTAAATTTTTTGGCAGTTCTAGAAGAGCTTGCTGGTTCTAGAGTGAAAAAGAAATGTCTTATTCAGTTTGTAAGTCTTTTGAAAGATTTTATATTATTATTTTTGGGATAGACACTTTTGTATCATATGTTTGGTAACAGATTGGCTTGCTGCAATTTATGTCAATGTATGTATTTTTCATGTTGTTTTCGTGATGGAAGTGGGAAGTGATAGGCTTATCTCTATTTTATTAAATTACTGTGAGTACTGGAAGGGTAAGTGGTCCCCGTTTGTGGAATTGTTATGTTGTACTTCAGGTCAAATTTGTCTAATTAAAGGAGTCAGAATGCCGAAATTTTATTAAATATGCACAAGCAATAACAGATCACAATGAACCTTGACGGTTGGCATTCATCATTAGTGCGCGTCACATCTACGGTCCATTAGAGATGGCTGGGGATGGCTCTGTCATAATCTATATAGGATCTTGCTAATGTACATCAAGGTTTATGGATTACATAATATTACATATCACTTTACTGTTTGTCAGTTTTAAACATAGTCAACCTTTTCATCTAATCTTTTCCTTCCACATCATTTTTGGTAACTGCTTATGTACCATTTTTATGTATGAGTAGCAAAATCCGTCTATATATATATAAAATCGTTGATTTCCAGGTTCAAATGAGTTATGTAAATCAAATTAATGTATATTTCAGGTTCAAATGTGAATATAAATGAATGGGTATCTGTTCAAATATGAATGTAAATGAATGGGTATAGCCAGAACACTAATTTACAATTCTGAAGTTTGCTCCCCTCCTTTTTTTTAAATTTTTTGGAACGATTAGTTTGGTACCAATTTTTATTCTTGATTTTCTTATGGTTTTCGGATTTGCAGGAAAATGAGGGATGCCTGTTTGGCTTGCAGACGCTGTGAGGAAGATAATTACTGGTCTGGTCGCCAACCAGTCCAATTCTGTCAGATTCTATCCTGGCCTTTTATAGAACAGCTTGTGAGTCCAATTTCTTCTTCCTCCTCCTTGTGCACGCATGTATCTGGGTATGTCTATTTATGTATTTTGAGAAAGATGAAGAAATATAAGTTAAATTATGATGAATGTTATCCATCTAAATCTTGTAATTTAATGGAAGACCCTGGGGGAAGGGGGGGGGGGGGAATTTATTCCTTTGGGATTCTTCGAGTTTAGGGGAACTTCCATGGTTGAAGAAAATTGCTTTTGTGGAGGTGGTCAAGTTTGAACTCAAATTTGAGTAATTCAGCGAATCTTTTTTGGTGGGACCAGTGTTTAAAAGGCGTAAGCCTCAGCACAAATCAAAAGAGTAAGTTAAAGAAGAGATAAATAAGCTTGTAGGAAATCATTAACAAACTTTAAAATTCATAACACAGTCGAACAATTTGAAGTGTGACTTGTGCTGTGAGGCTTATGCCTCAATCAGTAGAGGTGTAAGCTTCTTAATTGTTTTCAAAATTTGCACCTCAGGTTTTCTAAACCGTGGGTGGGACTACGTCAATTGCGATACTTTGTGTGTAGTTGATCATATTAAAAAGACCACACTATAAGAAAAATTGCTGATATTTGATAGTGGAATTCTATTGTGCTGCCATTCAATCAATCATTCATTTGTTGTAGCATATTCTTTTGTTTGGTTACCTATCTTGTACATTATTTCAGAACATATATATATTCGATTTAACCCCAACCATAACTTTGATAAATTTAATATGCAGGTTATTCCAAAAAAGTTTGCTGAAAACGTGAGAGAGAAGTTGGCTGAAACTGTGACCCTGAAAGTTCCAAGTGGGAGTATTTGGAATGTAGGATTAATTTCAGATGGGGATACATATGTTCTTAAACAAGGCTGGAAAAAGTTTGTCGAAGATAATTTTCTTGAGGAAAAGGATATTTTGATATTTAAATACATTGGGGATTCGATATTTGATGTTAATATGTTTGACCAGAAAAATTCCTGTGAGAGAGAAGCTACACATTTTGCGATAAAATGTGAGCATAGCTGTAAGAGAAAGAGGAAGGGGCCAGGAAGAATTGAAGATGAAGATATTGAATCTTCTGATGATGATGACTACCATCCATCCAACGATGATGATGATGATGACTACCATTCGGCAAAAAGCTCAAGGGGACTACCTACCAGAACCAATGCAAAGGCTTATGGGGCAATCGATAGTAACTTTTATTCCAGATCCCGTTTTGTTACTAAAGAAAATTATGTCCCTGAAGATACTTATTAGAATCATATTCTTGCAGAGGGTAAGTGTCGTTCTAGCAATGGAGTTGGTGGAAATCCCTTGCGGTTGACATTCCATAGAACGGCTGTAACTGGAGAGGAAGCTAAGGCAAATGCAGCATCATTGGTAAACAGTAATGTGCCAGGGATAGCTGAAGATGAAGATGATGAACCCTCTGATGAATATTCTGATGATGTTGACTACATTCCGGTGAAAAATCTGAGGAATGATTCTGCAAATATGCCAACATTATCAAGACTACCTACCAGATCTAATGCTAAGGCTGGGAGGGGAAAGAAGAGTAAGGGCATGTTTGAGCCACATTTAAAAAAAAAAAAAAAAAATTTTAAACAGTGATTTGACATCATTTCAACTACACATTCTTGAATAAATAATATTAGACGCAAATCCAAAATTTTTATTTATTTTTGAGCCACACATTTCCAATCAATACATTATTCAAAAATTCATTCAAAGGAAAATAATGTGGCTCAAACAAGGGCTAAGTATTATTTTAGATCCTATTATCTTACTTTAAAGAAAGATTAGGGCACTGAAGAGACAGAGACGTGTTCTTGAAATAGTAATTCATTTTGTTGTAGAGCCCTTAAAGTGTACATCCCATAGAAGGGCAGTTACTGAAGAGGAAAAAGAGCACGCACTGGAAAAGGCAAAGGCTAATGCAGCCTCATCAGAAAATTGTTTTACTGTAGTCATGCGTCCTACACATGTCTACAGACGATTCTTCTTGGTAAGTGCAGTATGCTCATAAGCATTTAAAAGGGTTAAATACACCTGTCTTCATTAAACAAAAATTGGTCTCGATCACTAAGCTTCTTTTTGTTTCAAGGTGTTTAATGAATTTAAACTTTGATACAGTTTGGTCACTCTAGCTATATATGTTTGTTTCTTAATAGAAAAGGTGGCATGAAAGTCTAATTGTTGGTCAATTAGGCTGCCACGTCAACTTTTCCATTTGGAAAACTAATGAATATGGATGAAATGACCAAATTGTAATTACTGCTCAAGATCAATGGTTGACTTTTAGATGAAGTTTGGGTTCAGTGACCTACTAGGAACAAAATGAACTATATTGACCAAACATGAAATTTCATTAAAATATTGTGACCATGAGTATTTTTCACCTGCCTCTTTCTTTTGATAATGTGTAAGTATTCGAATTTCTTACGACAGTCTTGGGATATTTGATGCAGACCATCCCTACTAAGTGGGCAAGGGTAAATGTCCGTCCGAAAAATCAAGATTTTGTCCTTCGCACCGAACTTGATACATTTAAAGCCAAATACCATTGCAGAGGTGATGGCGGCGGACTGAAAAAAGGTTGGGACAATTTTGTGGTTCACAACTTTTTAGAAGAATTTGATGTCTGTGTCTTCCATCTTGCTAGCGGAATAAATGATGACATCGTTCTTGATGTCAGCATTTTTCGAGTGGTAGAGGGGGTGATTCCTCCAAAATGCACCTCAAGGGATGAGTACATTGAAGCTCATATCTTGTCAAAGCTACAGGTTCAGGAATGACATTAAACTCTCATCTCTGTAGCTTCTTAGTACTTTCTTTTAGACTGGAAATTATGTTGTTACTGTCTAGCTTTTTAATAGCTTTTTGTTAACTTATTTTTTATACTGAAACCAGTATTACAATAACTGCAAGGATTGATGGTTGATGAATCAAAAATATTTTATGAATTTCGTTCAATAAATCGTGCTCTCCTCCATTTTGATCTCTCCTGTAGGGGGGCAAACCGCGTCCTATGGTGTGTTTAGTCGTTAATCCTGTGGATTTCATATTGCTTCGCTGTCTTAGAAAGGAAGGTGAATACTGTTCGTAAATTCATTAAAGTTGGAGGTGTACATTAGAATACAGTTGTCAAGAACTATAAATTCTGGTTGTATCAGATTTATGTGAAGTATTAATTTTGGGAAATGAAAAACAGAAAGAATGTCTCATGGTGATTTAGGTAATCAATACAGAGCATTGGTGCAATTGTAAAAAAAAAAAAAAAAGGCAATCAAGCATTTTGCAAACAGAAAGTTTAACGCAAAAGAGCATATCTAAAATGTTCTTTATTTGACCATTTTTCTTTATTTTGGAGAGTCGATCACTTTTTTAAGTAAAGAAAGGGACCGTTAAAAGTGTGGACCATACCAATCAACCTGGGTAAGTGAAGTGGTTGACAAATAATCAATGTTTTGAAAATCAGTTTGGCTCTTGACTTGAAAATATAAACTTTCGATACAAAGCTGAATTCAGTTATGAGCATGATTCTATCGTAAAAAAGAAGAAGAAGACGGTTCTAATTGTCTTAAAAGATCGTTCAACTAATAAAGATAGTTTCAGTATTTTGAATAATATAGACAGTTGAAATGATCGTGATTAGTCGAACTGTCTTTCAAAATAATTAAAATTATCTAACATACCACTCAATTAATTTGTAAAATGAGTCTTATCTTGAAAGCTTTCAAAAATTCTCAAGAAAGTTGTGTTCATATGATTACGTTTTAGGAAAAATTGAATTTAAGAGCGTTTTAGATAGTTCCATAAATTTTCACAAAATGTGATCATTTTTTAAGAGGGTGTTTGGGAGACATTTTAATGTAAAAATGCATTTTTGAATAGTAAAAATACATTTTTGAATAGTAAATTGATAGAAAATGTATGGTTGAAAAATAAGAAAAGTTTTTGATTTACGTGTAATATTATTTTAATAAAGAATGCATTATTGAAAATAAAAGAGGGAAAAATATATTTTGAAAAAAATGGGTACCAAATAATCCTAAGAAGGACTATCTTTATCTCCCTTTACCCTGCTGGGTTCAAAAAGGTTGATTTGATCACCAAAAGGGCTATTTTTCATTTTTTTAATTAAATTAAATTTGGAATGAATTAACGAAAACGTCTTTCGTTTACGTGGACAGCACACAGCTACTAAAACCTCCCAAAACCCCTGGAAAAATCCAACTTTCGGTCATATACTTGCCAAAAAGTCTCTCAGATCGCGTCATAAAATGAGGCGATTTAGCTCACTCGCCGCCGTATGCCGCGTCACCGCCTCACCGGCGGCGTTGGAAAATCCCATCCATAATCAACATCGACTCTTCCAGTCGGCTCTGTTTAGTACTGGCAGCAATAACTACTCGGCGAGGTCTCAATGGTTCCCGTACGATAAGGTCACTCCTCAGTCAACTCGTAAAGCTTTCGCCGGGACCATGCTGTTCTCGGTCGCAGCCACAACCCTCGCTGAAGAGGTTCATGCGAAAGAGCATGTGCAGTCGAAATTTCGCCCCAACGACGTCGTTCTCTATCAGTACGAAGCTTGCCCATTTTGTAACAAGGTTAAAGGTAATGGTGATATTTTTTACATTATTTTTGTCGTCATATTCGCCTTGGCTTTTGGAGAAATACATTGGTTATGACCTGTAGCTCTAATTTTTTGTTTTGATTTTATTTGTGTGAGGATTGATGTAGTCCAATAATAATTTCTATACTCGATCTGCTTCTCTGCGATTGCCGTTTTATCAGTCATAATAAATTATTACTATATTTATTATATCGATTATATTTATCACATTCATCTTCGATATTAGGGAAATATAATTTGAAGTGAATTATAGTTCTAGTTATTTATTATGATATATTCGTACGAGGGTTGATGTAGTTATTTGATAATTTAAGCGCGGAACATCAGGATTGTGCTTATACATTTTGTTTATGCTTTACTCGTGTATTTCTAGTAAACGTGTTCTTATATAAACATAATAGTTGTTTGTCTTAAATTGTGACAACTCTTTATTTGGAAAAGAGTATGTTTTCAAGTTGGTGTGACCTATTTCCATTCCGTGGATTAATTTTAGAAAAATGGTTTAGTTTACCTACACCTTAACAATTTAAAGGTAAAAAATCTTTACTTTGATCATAGTTTGGCATATTCGGAAGATAACTGGCTTCTGTTGGTTCCTTCTCTTGCTTGGCTTCCAAGATCTCATTCAATGAAGGCTGTAAAATGTGAGACAAATCTAGCTTAAACTCATTTTGCAGTTATCAATGGGATAGGACAAAATTTAGGTTAAAAATTCTAATTTTACAATTATCAATGCCTGCATGGAATTTTTTTATTGGATTATATTTCGTCATCTGGTTTTCGTTAAATTCCCTGTCATGGACCTCATATTTATGATGGATGCTATTTTCCAGCATTCCTGGATTATTATGATATTCCATACAAAGTTGTGGAGGTCAACCCCATCAGCAAAAAGGAAATCAAATGGTCTGATTACAAAAAAGTGCCTATATTGATGGTTGATGGTGATCAAATGGTGGACTCTTCAGGTATTCATTGTGTTGCAATTTACCATTTTTAATGTTTCTTGAAGATATAAAGATACAACATAGTGGATACTTTTTAGATAAATATGATGATATAAGCATGAAGTTTTTTATTTCTTTTCTGGGTTTTAGTCAATTTTGTAACTTTTTCCACACGTTCTGAATAGATATAATTGATAAGTTGACCAAAAAGATTCATCCTGATGTTCAACTAGAAGATGATGAAGAGAAGAAGTGGCGTGGGTATGCATTTACAACTCTTGTTATCATCTATCTTCTTGGAAGTTGCTCTTTGTGTGTGTGTGTGTGGGTTTTTTTTTTTTTTTTTTTTTTTGGGCCTTTTTTTCATTACTTTTCAACTCTATCTAGTAAAACTATATTTTAGTGCTTCGTTTGTTTTAGCATCCAGCATCCTATTGTTCCCAAGCTGTCAGCAGCCTGAAAAGTTGTTAAACTTGTTCTTTTTGTTACCTTCTCTTTTGATGAACATTAATTACCTCAAAAATGAGATTTCATGGTGCATAACCCTAGTCTGTGAATCTGTTTAATATTATTGGTATATTATGCATGTTTTGAAATAGTGATGTCTGCTTCTCATTATTGCAGGTGGGTGGACAATCACTTGGTGCATATCTTATCACCAAATATTTATCGAAGTACTTCCGAAGCTCTCGAGTCATTTGAATACATAACCAGTCATGGTAATGTTATCGATATGATAGCCCAAATTGATCTTTGATTGTAAATTCAGCTAAATTTTATATGAATGCATGTGCAAATTAAATTATTGATCACTGCATGGACATGCCTGTACATGTGTCACACTCATAAAGAGATAAAAAGTATAATCACCGAAAGAAAAGAAGAAAAAGTTTTCGGTGCCTCCAACAATTATCTGTAAGCTAAAAATGGGGCCTGTAAAAATTATTTTAATTGTGAAATTATAACTATAATCAAGTTTATGCACATTAAACTGGTTCAAATTATGTATGGCACAATGATGGAAGGGGCAATGACGATGGCTTATTTCTTGTTTCTTTCTTTACATTTATTTATTTTTTATTTTTTTGTTCTGCCTCTTCCATGTCTTTTACCCACTTAGATTGTGTTGGTGCATAGTTTTAATAAAAGCTTAGATGTAGTTGAATGATAGTTAACGTGAACTGTATTATGGAGTTTGTGAAGTTGGCAGTTGATAATTTATGCTGATTACAGGTGTTGAGGATATCTGTGTACTTGTTTTTGGTTGGGCGCAAGCATGTATTATCATATAGTTGATTAATGTATCTTCCTATTGGCGACTGAATATCAGCTTACCTTTTTATACACAAACACACACCCATTTGGCCTTTCCTTTGATTCCATTGTTACATCTAGTGAAGATCCAATCAAATGGAGTTTCTTTAGGTCTAATCAAGATATCTATTAAATAAATGATTTCCTAACATAAATTCAACTTAAATTTGACAGTCTATTGTATGTTCTTTCTTTAGTTTTTATGTCTTCCTTTCATTTTCTTAGATGAGTTGTACGCATATTCTGGAAATGGTGTGTGGTCAAGAAAATCCATTAGCACTAAATTGCTGTGTTGTCTCTTTACTTCATTCCGTGTGCTGTGTTTTTTTAGCTCAAATCTTAATTGTAATGTGCACACGCTGCAAATGTGTTTTGAGATGTTTGTTGAGGTTGTGGATCATTGATGGGTCAACTTGCTGTTTTGGAGAGGCAAACTCAAAGTTTTCCTAACAACAATATTTAGCTGTGAACTTTGAAGAGGCTGCATTGGCTGTGCCCCCTCCCTCACTTATTCTTTGATTGAATTCTTATTAAATGTTTCTAACCAATTGCAGGTAATTTCAGTTTTACCGAGAGATTAACAGCAAAGTATGCAGGAGCTATGGCCATGTATTTTGTATCTAAGAAATTGAAGAAAAAGTATAATATTACCGATGAACGTGCAGCGTTATATGAAGCAGGGGAAACATGGGTTGATGCTCTCAAGGGTCGAGAATTTCTAGGTTTGTTCAATTCCTTTTGGTGCAGTATCTTGCCTAAGCTGAAAGTTCGCAAATGCATGGTTGTCTAACCTTAAAAAAGTCTACTTAAAAGTAATATAATGAGTTCTAAACTAACTAATCTTTTTATTGGTCAAAATTGGAAACAATTTCCTCATTGCCTACTTGTCTTTCCCATCCCTTCATCAGGTGGTGCCAAGCCTAATTTAGGTGACCTTGCTGTCTATGGTGTTTTGAGACCCATTCGCTACCTCAAATCAGGTAGAGACATGGTAGAGCATACGAGGATTGGTGATTGGTATACTCGAATGGAAAATGCTGTTGGAGTATCTTCCAGAACCCCAGCATAGTTTGAATAATTTGTGCAAGTTTTGATTAGTTTTTGAGTAGGACCGAGGTCTGGAAATTTTATGCCCAATACTATCGTCTATATTTAAAGTGAGTATGCAGTTTCACTAAGCCTTCATGGTGAGATGTTACAATAAACTTTCCAAGGCAATTAGGAGGCAAAATACTATTTTGACATACGAATTGTTTATTACATTATTGAGTTCCAAGTCTCTACATTATGGTAACAGAACTGCTGGCCATTGGGTTTGAAGCTTCTTCTTCTTCCACTTAAATAAAATCTTTGATTGGTATTGTATCTAGTTTTCTTGTAATTTGTACTGCAATTATATTGGTTTAAAGTTGGGTTTCTTGGGTTTGCCAAGTATTTGTTGAGCAGACTAATCCACCACAAGTATTTGTGGAATGGACCAGCCTATTTACCCCTGCATTCCATGTTAGTTTTTCTATGCCCATACCCCAATCTGGTCCATGCAAATATTGGATGTACCTTCATTACTCTTTTTAGTTAAACTAATTAAACATCCATTCTTTTAAAGTGGACTTTCCCCACAAATTTCAACAATGCATGTGTGAATGTGTGATTGTTTCACACCCAACTTTTATAAAGAATGCCATGAGACCAAGGTATTTTGCCAAGAATTAAAATTAAATTTCTTTTGCATTTTTACTGCTGGTGTAAATAACATAGAATTAATGAAATGTGGTTCACCAAACAGCTTACTTGATCTAATCTAAAATATGGGATGCAATAATCTATCTAACTAAATTAAATATTATCAATTTTTTATACACAAAAATAGTTTCTCGTCCTCTACTTCAATAGAGTTTTATTTTACACATTTCATCTTTACATCAATGATGAAGTGTTGAAATAAAATTATCTTCGAATCGAACTCGAGCCACATGCACGTTCACACATTGACTTGAAGAACTTGAAAGACAAGCCAAAAAGAATTTGTCATCAAGGCATGAGGACAATTATTATCCTATAATTGGCTTATTTTCATAGTTGAAAATTTAGTGTGAAATTTTACTCTTATTTCTATAGATCATATCTTGTAATCTTGTAATATTTGGTGAGAAACTAAACGAAGAGGACAGTTTAAAAAGGTGATTTTCCTGTAATAGTAACAAGTACATTAACACAATCTTAAGATTGCATTTTGTCATTAATCAATTATTCTGTTTTAATTATTTTCCAAAATAAGTACTTGTGATGTAGTCCATAAGTAGTGAAGGAGGTAGCCCACCAAATTCCATGAAGTGCCAATATTTTTGGACAACTTCATGCTTTCTCAACTAACCCTAACCACTTAGTCTTCTCTTCTTCCATATTCTAGGAGTGGGGAGACTCGGGAGACGTAGGAAGGAGTGGGGTCCACAGGGATGGTCTTGTGATTTTTCATTATCAATATATTTTTTGAAGAACCAATAAAAAGTTGATATTATCCAAGATTGAAACAAATTAATTGCTAAATAAGAAAATTTTCTTATCGTGAAATGTGCTAAAGGTAAAATTCCGTATTGATTAAAGATAAAAATAATAAATGACATATATGGATATTGGCTAATTTTTATAATAAGGTTGATATTTTGAGATGAAATTCTACGTTTTAGTATCAGTATAAACTCAAACAACCTATCAGATTACATCAAGTATTCATAAAACGCGAAAATTCTCTGATGAGCTATGTAAATAATTTCATCTAAAAGGACCATAGATTTTAGCTGCTGGTGCATGCATAGGAGGTTCAACTTCAGTTTGATTTAGATAAAAATTATATTCTTAATATTTTTTAATAAAAGTTAATTAAAGTAGTGAATTTCATAAAATGTATGATTAAAATTAAATGTTAACTTTGACTTAAATATTAATCTACCTTTTAAGTTGTACCAAACTGAAAATTAATCTTTTAATAATTCTTGAGAATATGTACTTCACAATTGAAGAGTCTCTCTTGATTAGATTGTCACTTTTTACATATTTATATATAGCTCTTGTTTGGTAGAGATTATAATAATATTTTTAGTAGATTTTGATAAAAATTAATGTAATATGTTGTTGAAAAATTGTAAATCCCATAAAATGCGCGGTTAAAATTAATTGTTGACTTTGATTAAGATTAAAATTAAGAGTTTAATCCCTATGCATAATATATATGGACACACACACACACATATTGATATTGAGTTTATATTTATAAAAGAAAAAGAAGTTGATCTTATTCATCTAAAATGTACTTTTTTATCCTTTTAACTTAATATGTACTTACTACATAGTTCATTTGTCTATATTCACCATTTCTACTACTTGACAAAAATGATGAGTTGATAGACAAATTGCTTATTTAATGTTGAGTTGGACGAAATTAATTGTCATGCTTTCGTATGCCAATTACCCCGTTAGTTGGAACAGAAGAAATATACATATAGACTAACACGCAGGGGCAGAGCCATGTTGAGTGAAATTTTAGGCCCAAACATTTTATTTTTTTTTTAGCAACAGGGGAGGTGGAATAAAAACATGTTTTAATTTACATGAGTTTTATTTTTAGGCTGAAACCCATGATTTTGTTTTATAGTTTTATCATCATTAAATTCATGACCAAAACTCAATGTTCGACATGAGTTAAATTATGCATGCACCGAACAAATTTCCTGACTCCGCCCCTGCTAACACGATACATATTATCAAGTTGAAGGAGACAAAATCTACTTTTCAAATTTTAGAGACTTCTTCTGCGCAAGGTTTGAAATTCGGAGGCAAACCTTATTTTTTTTACCTTTTTTAATTCTTCCCTCTCTCTCCAAACATATATATGTAGCAAGTGAGAAGATATTTTACACAACAATTGTGACAAACAATACGGTTGGTACCAACAAAAGTTGAAATTTTATCTCATGCAAAATATGATACTTGTGAAGTGTAAAGCTTGACATTGTATTAAATTACACCTACCTTCCTTCCATACAATATATATTATATCTTCTCCCTATATGCATGTGTGTGTGTATTTATAAATACACACATACATACAAACGCTACTACTGTGATTCAACTTATTTTCGGAAAGTTGTTGAATAGAAATTCATGCAACCTTTCCTGATGAAGATGTTGTCTTCTCATTTTTCGGCTACTTATACTTATAATTCAAAAGTGTTTTTCCATGTCTTTGTTCTGTTGTGGAGTGCCTGCGAGGGAGTGATAAAGCTACCGGAAAATGTAACCGTGCCTGCAATATTTGCATTTGGAGACTCGATAGTTGATCAAGGCAACAACAACGATAGGAAGACAATTGTTAAGGGCAATTTTATGCCTTATGGAAAGGATTTTGAAGGTGGAGTTTCCACAGGAAGGTTTTGCAATGGAAAGACGCCACCAGACATGATTGGTATGTTCCAGTAATCATCATTATAGTGCTTGTTATTTGAGACATTAATTTTCTGTAATTCTGTTGATTCAAATAACAAACTGTCACATGAGGATGACTACCGCAATCGTTGACTATGAATAACATTATTTCATGTATAAACATTGAACCAGTCAGTTTAAGGACTCATTCGGAATAGCTACGGCTTCTGGTAGAGGAGCTTTATTGGGAAGACACTTGATGAGCTTTCTCTAAGAGTTTTTTACCAATCTAATAATTCACTTTCACTTCTTTAAATGGGCTACGACGAGTCTTGAGTTCAGAAATTTTTTCGCTTCAATATAAGCACATAAGTTAAATTTTGTCTTCAATAGTTTTAGCTAAAAATGCTAATATCGACGTAGAAAGTAATCTATCTTTGGTCTGTGTGTGCATGGTCCATTGGATGAATACATACACATGTATAGTATTTCTATTAAATTCTAAATATTATTACACCAATGGCCTACAATTCCTATTAAATGTTATTTCTAATAACTTCTAAATCGATTTTTCTCCGAGAATGGAATTTACATGTTTGACTAAATTTAAAAGTACTTTAGTGTGAACTCATTATAAGTAAATAAAGTCATTTATTGACAATAAAATTGATTTTATTTTCAAATATAACTTATTTTCATTTTTTTTTTTTTTTGAGAAATGGAACAAAGTTATTAAATAATTATTTTAAAATTTATTAAATAATTATTTTAAAATTTACTTGTTTACTTTATCTTACATGATAAGTACACTTTGTAAGCTTACCTGGCATGCAATTAGTTTATATATACTTGTCTATTTTGAGTTTGATCTTGTTAGCCGTTAAAGTGAATATATATATTATGTTTACGAAATAATTTGGGGCATGCTAGGCTTTTCTAGACTACACAGTTTATTCAGGTCAAGCTACCATGACAATAATTTTTAATCGATAGCCAAATATTGGGTATTGTTTCATCAATTATCTTTGGGAAAATTTCATAAATGAGAGATTAAACTCCCGTTTGATTCTCATTCTTTAATTACAAAAATGAAAAATATAATCGTTATCCATCACATTAAGCCACTATATTTGACTTTCTATCTCTTGTATGGGTCCCATAACGACTATATTTTTCATTTTCATTCTTAAAATTTTTGAACTGTGACCGTAAAATAATTTGTGGCACAATATTTCTGACTTGTGACCAAAAAATAATAAGTGGCGAATTAAATCGTTAATTTGTGACCAAATTATATAAATCTGTGACTTAAATATATTTAACTACTAAAATAATTAATTAATTAAATCATAAAAAAATTTAATAATTCAAAAATTTTATAGGTCACATTTTGTTCATCAGTTTCAAATCGAAAAATTTATAAGTTACGATTGATTTATTGGTCACAAATCACAAATATTATAAGTCACAACTTATTATACAATCCCAAATTGTCAAATTATTGATCACAGATTAATAATTTTTCAGGTCACACATTATTTTTCGATCACTATTTATCTTTTTCACTGGTCACATATTATTTATTGATCACAGATTAACCAATTTAATGGTCACAGTCAACCAAATAATTTGTGACAACCACCAACACTTACGACCACCATGTCATCTTCGTCTCCACAACTTATTAGTAGGTCACAAATTATTAATTTTTTTGATCACACGCTAGATTTTGGTAACAATTTATTTTTTTAATTGGTCACATATTGTTTATTGATCACAGATTAATCAATCTCATGATCACAAATCAACCAAATCATCTATGACCACTTCCAATTTGTGCAACAACCACCGTCTCTAATAGCACCACTGCCACCGTCACTACCAGAATCGCCACCACCTAACATCAACACCGCTGTCTCAAACAAATCAACACATCCACCTCAATAGGCACAGCCACCAACATCTCACCTTCACCACCGCACCCACTACCATGACCACCACCATCTACCACCGCCACCGCCATCCAAAATCTCTTGCCATTTCATTAGTCTCCATCAACAGAGTAACTCAAACTACAAAACCACTACACATGGGCGCTATGAATGCCCGATGCTGCACACGCCTTCAACCACCAGATTCGCCCATCCCCCAGCCATTACCACAACACCGCCACCATACAAACACCATCACCATTGCCGCTACCACCAACAACTACAAACACCCATTCTCTTCTTCGGCTCCAATCTGTAATAACCACCAACATATCTTATCTCCCATGCCATCCCACACCCGCCACAACTACCAACACCACTACTACCGACCACTGCACAATAGATTGAATAAAAAAAACCCCAAAAAATCGAGGCGGCGAAGTAGATCAGGTAGATTCAGCATCGCACTCGCTGCGCCTCATTGAGCCGTGAGCAGCGCCGCCTCACTCCACTGCACTTTGCCGCAGTTGATAAAGGTGCTTCCGTAATCTAGGGGAGGGAGACAAGATAGAGATTGAGGAAGAGAGAAGAAGGGCAAGGAGGAAAAGTGTCGGTAGAGAGATTGTCGAGAGGGAGATGGAGAGAAAAATAAATTGATTAGGGTTTAAAGATTTCTAATTTTTGAAAGATTAAACTTTGACTATGATTTATGAAATGAGAATTTTTAATCTATTGGAATCTGTAATTTCCACATTATCTTTTGTAAAATAAGCCCAAATAAACAAACACAGGATAAATTTCACCATGTGTTTCCAAGTCACAATTTCATCAATTAAATAAATCAAGCTTATGTCAATTGTTGTAAAATTTTATTTCGCAGGTGTACGACCCGTAACAAGTAATAGTGGACCTAAGAGTCCGAATTGTCGATCCCACAAAGACTATTTTCTAGCACTTAATTCAATTTTTCTTTAACTACTATTTGACTAAAACAAATTAAAAGTTGTAAAATCTAAGTTTTAATCTAAATTCTAGAAAATAAATGGATGTCCACACGATTGGTTGGAAAATCAAATAATGAATGGATGTTAGGGTAGAATAACTTCACCAATTGATCACATTTACATCTCAAATTAAAACTCAATTCTAATGTAGTGCTCGGTCGAATTCTCCTATTGTATTCAATTTACTCCTCTCGAGTTCTCATTGAGCCTATTCAATTAATTAAATTTCATATTTCTATGCAAATTCAACTTAGTTAAACGAGTTCTATGTCCTAGAAATTCAATTATGACCGCAATAAATGGTATAGGTATCTCTACTCGTTATACCAATGTACTAAATTTTACTACATGGTCTAAATCTTAAAGTAATATCTCTATTTGTAAAGAATTCACAAAAATCATCAAATTATTGATCAGATAATTTAATGCATTCAATTCATAGCAAAATCAACACATGAAAAAATTAAAACTAAGAATCTTAATAAAAGAATGTAAAGGATCCCATTTGATTACATTATTTCCCTTAACAATGAATTTAACTACTCATAATGCAAGAAGAAAAATAGGAAATTGTCTTAAAATATATCACCGAATTTGTAATAAAGATGTATAAGAAAAAGTAAAACTCTTGCACCAAGATCTCCTTCCCCCTTCCAATTAATGTTTCTAATCTTCAATCGCTTGGCGTTAATCTTCTTGAATCTCTCTTTTGAATCTCTCTTTTTGTTGTCTTGTCTCCAATGTGTCAAGAACCCCTCAAAAGTATGAGAAAGATGTATTTATAGTTGCCCCTTCGTTTTGTGTAGAAGTAGGATTTTTATAGATTTTAAAACGGCCCAAAAAAACACGCCTTAGATACTCAATCGCAGCGCCTAAGCGTTGATGATAGTGCCTAGGCGCTGATGATGGCACCTAGGTACTATAATTGCGGCGCCTAGGCGCTGCCTCTCCAGGTTCAAATTTCATCTTTTTTTTAGTTTCGTAGCGCCTAGGCTCTATGAATGCAGCGCCTAAGCGCCGTCTTTTTGCTCCAATTTTGTGTTTTTGGCCTCTTCGTCCACTTTAATACTTCTTTTCGTATCGCCTCTCCTAATCTTCAAAACAACACTAACAAACACATCAAAAACGTTCTATACTCACAATAACTAGCATTTAATCAAGCTAAAATTGTGCAAAAATTATGAGTGAAACAAACTCATCAAATACCCCCAAACTTAATTGTTTGCTAGTCCTCGAGCAAACAAACAAACCAAACAATAAAATCATCCAAGGACGATACACACACAACTAGTCAGTTAGACAGCTTGTCTTTTTGGCTCAATATTGATAACATTATAATATATTTATGAATGATGTTAAAGTCACAATGTAAGAACCAAACTTCCACTCATACAACGCGAAGCGAATGTGTGTGTGTGGAGGTTCAAGCGTAGCGCCGTACATTCATAAGTTGGTTCACTTCCCAACCCTCAATGGTCAATTATTTCCTTTCTTCACTCTTAAGATTCACACACCCCAAACTTAGTTCTTTTATTCTCTTACCATGGTATAATTCTAAAGTTCAGTTTTGCTTAAGATTTCCTCACACCACTCTAATTTGGGTTAGTTCAACCCGCAACGTCAACAATTCATTCATGTAGTGATTCTCCCAATTTATGAGCGTTTCAACAATCTAGTTTATACTTAGTGATTCAAACCTACTAGTTATCTAGGCCCTCAAGATCAGTTTTTTTTTTTTTTACCTCACCCTTTTTTCAGCTTCTTGACCCCTGTAGCGAGTGTTAGGTCGGTAACTCCTCGATTTTTTGTATGCCAAAGTGTACCAGGTTTCAAAAGACCCCTACTACTTAATAACTCGAGTAAAAAAGGTGTAGGTGTGAGACTCAGCTGAATATGTGCAACGCTTCTTCTCTTATAAAAAAAAAAGCGAAATTTATAGAGGTTAGATTTCTAGCATTCGATCATCACCAAGCTTATACCAAAAAATTAAATACACTCCACACAATCTTTTTCACATGCACGGAATCAACACAATCGTAAATCATTTCTTTCGCCGGTTAGAATACCCCAAATTACAATGTACATGGTTAAGGGGTATTGACATT